GTTGCCCCAAACCCTAGGCCCTAAACCCTGAACCCATATATATCCTAGTGCCTAAACCCTTATTCCCACATCCGAAACCTGCCCTTTACCTAAATCCTATAGCCCTTTTCTGTCTGGTGCTTAGTAGCGAATGGGGGAATGGATCCCTATGATAGTCCCTTAAAGTCCCTTATAGTAGTCCCTATAACCCATTCCCCCATTCCCTACTAAGCACCAGACAGTTTTGGTCTGGGTCGGCTGCAGGATCCAGAGCGAGATCTGGAGTTCCCGTTAGAAAGGGATGCCCAAACGCCAGGCAGTTTAGGGTTTAGGGATTGGGGTTTAGGGTTTAGGGTTTAGGGTTTAGGGTTTGGGGTTTAGGGTTTAGGGTTTAGGGTGGTTCTCCTGCTAGCTCAAGCAGTTCATAAATGCCCCTATAAGGGCATGAGGCTTACACGATTTGGATATGCTTTGGTTACGTTGTGTTAATGTCTTGTAAGAGGCCTTACGCTCAAGGGCCAAACTAATTACCTCTACCATTTTGGTGTTCCTTCCCAAACCCCCAACCCTGAACCCTAAACTCAAGCACCAGTAAGTCTAGCGAGTCTAGCTGAACCCTAAGGGTCCATGTACCCAAATAGATATACTTTGGCCTTAAAGTACGCAGTCCCTATATAAGTACTTTGGGGCCAATGTATAATATACTATTTGGGTACATGGACCCTCAGGGGAAGTGCAGGTAAAGTTCGAGGGCCGACACGTTGCAGACAACCAGGCTGGCAGAGGGCCAGTCCTTTGGGGTTAGGCTTTTGGGGGGTTTCTGGTGGTCAGGATCTAGGGTTTAGGGTTTTTGGTGGGATTTGGGGTTTAGGGGTTTATGGTTGAAGAATTTGGGGTTTTAGGGCTTTGGCTTTTAATGATTCTGGGGTTTTGGGTAATTGTCGGTTTCAGAGTTGAGAGTTTCAGGGTTTAGGGGTTTGGGTGGCTGAAGCAGGGGCAGGGGTCAGTATGATGATTTCAGGAGCTTTCCAGAACTCACGGAAGATTCTGGCCGGCAGGTGCTCGGGAAATTGGCTTCAGGGTCTAGAAATTCAGGTGTGTTACGGCCGCGATTTAGGGGTGTTGGATTTGCACCTTGCGCTTTGGGCCTTAGGGTTTCTCAGAAGTCCTGCAGCTGCGGGATTGGTTTTGTGGGGTTTATTAAGGGTTTAGGGGGTATAGGCTTTAAGGGTGAGATAGACGACTTTGGTTGGCTAGCTATGGGGTGAGGGGGTTTAGGGTTTGTGTAGTCCAGCGCCCACACTAGACCTTAACATTTTAGGGGGTATGGTTTAGGATTTGTGGTAGCATGGTGTCCAGGGTTTAGGAGGTCCTTACTCGTGATTTACAGGGTATACACCAACGATAAATCATAGCCTTCCTCGCCGCCATCACCATTGTCTTCATAATCACCAGCACCACCAGCATCCTCCTCCTCCTTTTCCGGCTCTGGCTCCTGCTCCTGCTCCTGCTCCTGCTCCTCCTCCTCCTTCCTCCTCATCATCACCACCATCAGCATCATCATCAGCAGCATCATGCCGATCATCATCACCATCACCATCACCATCACCACTATCACCATTATCCACCATGAATACCATCGTCAATACAACAACACCAAGTTGATGATGTAGTTTTAAGTCGTGTGTCCATAGAGGTTCAATGCCAAGGATGCTGACATGTGCTGACATTCAGCCGAGCAGGCGTAGTAATTTCGATGCTACTGAACCAGCTTTTGTTCGGAGTAGTAAGAACCTCGTAACTCATAGCAGATATTTCCTGATGGCTTGCCTTTAGTGTCGTGGATGTGCACTTGAAGTCTAAGTCTAAGTTGTCCGTGATGACAAGAGCGAGGAGCGAGGGTCATTGCATGGCTGTTTTGTGCACCAGCAGCTTGGATGGGTACTAGCTTTCAGACTAACATCTTCCCATCTGAATACCAACACACCCTGCACCCCCACAGGCCTTCAACCCTAACCACTAAACCCGAAATCCCCTCCATCTTAAGGTCCTCAAACCTCATACCATCCACCTGCTAAGCCCTAGACCCTAAACCAAATCATAAAGCCATCAACCCTTAACCTCATCCCAAGTGCAGCGTCTGCAGGTCACTGCACATGGCTATGCCGATATGATCGGGCCTCTCGATGCGGGAACCTATCAGCCCCACGGCCGCCTGAGGGTCTCCGTTTCAGGGGATTTTGGGGCTTAGGGTTTAGGGAGTTGGGGTTCTTAGGGTCTCAGGATTTGGGATTTGAGGTTTTAGGGTCTAGGGTTGAGGGACATAGCTATCAGGCCTGGGTTTCTGAAACCCAAAGTCTAGTCCACGTATCGTTGTTTGTTCGATTGCTTTAATCAGCGAAACGCTTCATGTTCCGATGAATCCGTTCTCTACATGGTGGACCTACCGTTCTTCCTGCATGTTTATTCGCCTTCTTCAGAACTGTACTCAGAGACTGAAGTGCTCTGGGACTCACATCCTTTCCATCGGAAGCTCGCTGTAGGTTGTGTCCTTCGCAGCGCAAATGTACAAGGTCGCACCAGCCCATTTCAAGCTGTTCGATTTCCGATTTCACTGTTACGGTCGTAGGTTTGCGTTTGAGGCCTATTAAGTTTGGGGCGGTAGGGCTCAGCACTTGAAATTCGAGTCCCTGCACGTATCAGCCCTTGACACCTTTTGACTGCGAGCACAGGTGGAGACATGGACGGGTACATGTACCCTAACCCCCCAGGTACCTACTATATAAGGCCCTAGGTAGGGGGCTCTAGTCCCCTATATAGTAGGTACCTGGAGGGTTAGGGTGTACATCTCGCATGTGCATACGCAAAATCTGCTGGCATTGTCATTCATAGAAGCATGTGTGCGTTAGTTAATGCAGGGCCTGAATGATTAGTACTGTGATTCCTGAGGGTTCCTTGTTATAGCTATACTGTACCATACCCCAAACCCTATCCTAATTGTGTCTAGCCCGAAACGAAACCTGATAATAGTATCCCTTATTCCTAGGCCGGCGCGCCTCATTTTCCCTGGCGTTCTCCTTGCTTCTCGCGGGTTGCTCTTGTTTCAGGAGGCGTGTTCATAAAAAACCTGGTGGTATTCTGTATGTCTACAGTATCTATCTACCTACATATACATATATACACACCATATATATATATATGTATATACACACCGTGAATATATATATATATATATACACACACATATATACCATACATATATACACGTATACACCATACATATATATATATATATATGTATATATATAAACCATATATACATAT